TGTTGACCAGGATGGTCTCGATCTCTTGACCTCGTGATCCACCCGCCTCGGCCTCCCAAAGTGCTGGGATTACAGGCTTGAGCCACCGCGCCCGGCGGAGTCACTGTTAAGAGGAATGGACACAAATGCTCTGTTTGAGTTCTGGATACTTTCTTTGAGAGCTGAGATGAGAGCAGGGATGGCATTCTCCCATGAGATGCCCTCCAGCCCCCATGGACTATTTACTTTCCAGTCCTGTTAATGATACCTAAATGATGTTGATATAAGTTTAAGAAAATGACAAGAGTATGCATGGCAAAATATTTTGCTATAGCTGCAACCGTTTGTATATAGCTGAAGCAGCTTAAGGAAAGCCAACGAAAACACTGATTAAGCTGACAAAAGAGAGCTTTAATATTAATTTCTGTTTACCAGCAATCATGAAAATGCTGTGAAAATCAATGAATGGATTTGCAACAACATACTCAACTGCAGGTTAAACTCACATTTAATTGTGTAGATTCCAGAATATCCAGCAGTTAATACATCCTATGTGTTAAGATTCTGGAATGGGAGACTAGTTATGGCCCAAACCTGATTTAAACCAAGTACCTAACAACTACACAAAACTCTATTAAGACGAGCAAAAGATTAACCTACTTGGGTAAGTTGGCTTATGAGAATGGACAGAGACATTCTTAAATGTCTGAAATTTGACCAGAATCTACGCACTGCTGCCACCCTGAAAGCAAATCGGTTTTCACTTAGACGCCACTCTCTACCTTCTCTCCCCATCCGCAACGTAGTTCAGTCTCTATCTTTGCTTTCAAAACTCTGACAGACAGGCTTCTATACTCCAAGCAGGGGCCTAAAGAATTCTTATCTGAGGACATGGACTAGCCCCCAAAATAACATTTAATGATACTGATATAAAAGGGCTCCCAAGGACCATTTGATTAAGAAGAATTTCACAGACAAAAAGTGGCAGAGAAGAAATAATTTAAAAGACTATTTGGCTGGGTGCAATGGATCATGCCTGTAATTCCAACACTTTGGGAGGCTGAGTGGGGAGGATCACTTTAGCCTGGTGTTTGAGACCAGCCTGGGCAACATAGCAAGATCTAACCTTGACTGACACACTGACACACTGACACACACACACACACGCACGCACACGCACACACACATGTGGCAATGCATGCCTGTATCCCAGTTACTTGGGAGGCTGAGCTGGGAGGCCTGCTTGAGCCTGGGAGTCAGAGGTTGCAATGTGCTGTAAGCATGCCACTACACTCTAGCACAGGCAACAGAGCAAGGCTCTGTCTCAAAAACAACAGCAACAAAAAGAATATTTGATAGTTTTGAGCATCAGTCTACAGACTAAAATGGCTCTCCAAGTATCCAATACAATTTTCCAATGCACAGCAAATCATGACGTTCCAGAACACAAGGATAAAGAGATCAGAAAAGCTTCCAGAAAGATCAGGTCATATATAAAGGGAGAAGAAAGATGTTTCAGACATGATAAAGTAAAAAATAAAAAAAACCATCTCATATACACCCTTTTCCCAGAAAGCTACAATCATATACGTTCTGCCAACACAAAGTAGTAAACCAAGAAAGAGGAAGACAGGAGCCAGGCTCAACCACATGACAGCAGCAAAGGCAATTCCCAAGACAGCGCAGCTGTGCAGAATCAGTGCACAATGGGTGTGGCAGGCAGCAGGTCTCCACAGAAAGAGTGGAATTGAGAATGTTACCTGATCTGACTATTTGAAGAGGAGTTTTAGAGTTCTGTCAAGAAGTTTGTAGCTGTGTTAGAGAGTGGATATCTGCAACATATAACCAAGAAAGGTCTAGAATCCAGAACATAACAATAAAATATATATTAACAAGAGAAAGATAAATAACTCAATAGAAAACTAGCAAGACTCTAACAGGCACTCCTAAAAGAGGAAATCTAAAGGCTAATAAACATATGAAACATGCTTATCCTTATTAGTAATCAAGGAATTACAAATAAAAGTATAATAAGATGCCATTACAAAACTGACGAAACTATCAAAACAATTTTTTTATAAGTATGTAAAGCAATAGGATTTCTCATACACCAGTGGCTAGAGTGTAAAATGGTAGCACCCCCATGGAAAATAGTTTGGCATGATACACAACACCCAGCAATTCCACTATTGGGTAAACACCCCAGAGAAAGGTATGTACATGTGCTTACTTATTATTGAAACTATATATATTATGTTTGTTTGATAATTTAATTATTGAATGTCTTGCTAAATATAAGTAATACAAGGACAGGGATGGCAGCTCTTCCGTTTACTTGAGCCAAGCACTGTGAATTATAACAGCTATTCAAAAAATATTTATGGAACCAAGTTGAATCAGAAAACACTAATAAGACAGTAGAAAACTTAGCAAAAAAATTTTTTTTAAAAGGACAGAAAGCAAAAGTTCACAGACCTGTAAAAAATGTTCAACCACACTAGTAATTAAGGAAATTAAAATATGATGATATACCATTTTTGCTATAAAAAGACATTAAAATAATTACACTGCTCAAAGCTGTAAAAGTACACAGATCCTCTCATGGGTCACTTATAGAAATATAATATGATATACAGATGCATACATTCTTTTTTTTTTTGTGAGACAGTTTCTCTGCTGTTGCCCAGGCCAGAGTACAATGGTGTGATCTCAGCTCACTGCAACCTCCACCTCCTAAGTTCAAGTGATTCTCCCGCCTCAGCTTCTCAAGTAGCTGGGATTACAGGCATGAGCCACCACGCCTGGCAAATTTTAATATTTTTAGTAGAAACGGGGTTTCACCGTGTTGTCAATGCTGGCTTTGAACTCCTGCCTCAAGTGATCCACCCACCTCAGCTTCCTAAAGTGCTGGGATTACAGGCGTGAGCCACCGTGCCTGGTCTACACGCATAAATTCTATAGTTTTTCTGGAAAGCAATTTGGCAACTTGTGTTGAATCTTGAAAATAAAGATGTCCTCTGACAGTAAAAACTAGTAAAATTCCAGCTTTAAAACCATACCAAAAATGTAATTTTAAAATATGAGATAAAACTTATTTAAAAACTGTTCATCCATTATGAATTGATATAAAACACTGGAAATAAATGAGCAAAAAAGGGATAATGATTAAATATATTTTAGGATGCAAACATAGGCTAGACAGAAATTAAAATGTGAGATTTTCAAAGAATTGATAATAACAGAAAAATGCTCATGTTCTAAGTGGCATTATAAAGAGCTAATGGCAGAACTTTATTCTAATGGCAGAATAAAGAACTGTATGAAGTATGACTTCAATTTTATTAAATATGTATGCATATATACAATAAACACACACACAGATTACCACAACTATTATAGCAAAATAGACTGCAAATATAGTTAATGTTGAAAGAAGAAGCTCTTACTATTATAGTTCTTACCAAGGCTTATTAAACATTCTCTCCTTTAACACTTAAAAAAGAATAATAATAGATAACTTTATACTTACCAGATCAACATTTTGCATTATATCCTGAAATGAAGGATGAGTTCGAAATTGTTCAAAGAGATCGCGTTTGTACAGCAGGGCATAAACCAAGTTTGGGTTGTGGTGAAGGGAATTTGTCAGGCAGGAGTTGATGATCTCTAACATCATTCGAATCACTTCTTCGATGACATTTAGGTCTTGTGCCTTATAAAGAAAGGAAACCCCAACACAGAGTCAGTCTTTTTCTCTTTGCATTAGAATTAATCAACATAAGAGTAATTGCCATAAAGTTATAACAGCATTGGAAAGATCATGCAGAGAAGCTCATCAAGATGATTTCTGTCAAGACTCTTAATAATGAGGTTTGTCAGTTACTAAAGAATTTGGGTTAACATTTTTTGAACTTAATATGGTGATAATTAGGAATTTCATATAATAAATTACAGACTTACCAATCTAGAGGGACATTTGGTGCTTACTCAGCTCATTTAATAGATCTGTATTAGATCCATATTACCCTAAATTGTTAGACTTCCATGATTTAGAGTAGTGCCCATTCCAAGAAAAATGCCTAATTCAGAAAATGACTTCATTTCTCTACACTGTCATTTCAGTTTTTATATTTCAGATAAACAAACTATGATTTTGTCACTGTTTCCTTGGAGTGAACAGTCTTTGGGAATCTGAACATAAAATAGTTACCAAACAGCAAAGCTCAAAGTAAGCAATCAGCAAACCTCTTGGAAGAAAAGGGCAATGGAAAGAGCAAGCACATGGGCATATACAATAGACTTTCCTCTCCTCTCCAGTTTTCTATATTTGACAGCTGAAGCAAAAATTATAACATGGATGTGGTTCTCAATGTATGTAAAGGAATATCTAAGACAATCATAAACAAGGATGGATATTTAAAGGGACAAAGGTTTCTACATCTCACTTGAACTGGTAAAATGTCAACACTACTAGACTGTGATAAACTATATACATATAATGTAACATCTAGAGCAAATCTTCCTGACAAGAAACAAAAATACCACCTCCCAAAGTGCGGTGGCTCACACCTGTAATCCCAGCACTTTGGGAGGCCAAGGTGGGTGGATCACTTGAGCTCAGGAGCTCCAGCCCAGCCTGGGCAACATGGTGAAACACCATCTCTACAAAAAATACAAAAATTAACTAGGCATGGTGGGACACACTTGTAGTCTCAGCTACTCGGGAGGCTAAGGTGGGAGGTTGGCTTAAGCCTGAGAGTTGGAGGTCACAGTGAGTTGAGATCGCTCCACTGCATTCCAGCCTGATTGACAGAGCCAGACCCTGTCTCAAAAGCAACAACAACAACAACAACAAAAACCGCAAAAAACTACAGATATATCAAAGTGGGATTCTAAAATAATTTCCATACAGGAAGGCAGAAAAAAAGGCAAATAAAAAAGGGGAAACAAACTAAAGACAGAAAGTAAAATGGTAGTTATCTAGTGATAACTACGTTAATTGCAAATAGTCTGCAATAGTTAAAATCCAAGGCTTGGCAGAGTGGACTGAAAGTACACTACCCCACTATATGCTATATATGAGAAACTTCTAATATAGTTAGGTTGAAAGTAAAACGACGGAAAAAGACGCTTATGCAAACATAAATCAAAAGAAAGCAGAAGTGGCTATCCAGTGTGCCATATCTTTAAGGAATTGGTTCCAGGACATCCCCCTACCTCGGAAATACCAACAAACTGCAGAAGCTCAAGTCCCTTATATATAATGGCATACTATAGTTGCTCACTCCACCCATAGATTCAAATAATCTGTAAATGTGAAATCCAAGAATATGAGGGGCCAACTGTATGTACTTTAAATCTGCGTTGGTTGAATCCATGCATGCGTAATATCCAAAATATGGAGGACTGACTTATATTATTATCAGGTAAAGTAGACTTCAGAGTCTATATAACCTGTAAAATAAAAAATATTGACTATCTGGCTCTTGAGCTTGAAATCCCAACCTCAGGTGATCTGCCTGCCTTGGCCTCCAAAGTGCTTGGATTACCGGCGTGAGCCACCACTCCCGGCCAACTATCTGGCTCTTAACAGTAAAAGTTTACTTCCCCTGCTTGAGAGATGAAAAGATATGCCTATTTCCATACAATTTATCTGTCTTTCTTTTCTTACTTTTTTTGAGTCAGGGTCTTACCCTGTCACCCAGGCTGGAGTGCAGTGGTGCAATCCTAGCTCACTGCAGCCTTGAATTCCTGGGTTCAAGCAATTCTCCCACCTTAGCCTCCCAAAATGCTGGGATTAAATGGGTAAGCCACTGAACCCAGCCTCTGCCTCTATTTTCTTAAATACAATGTCTAACATTCAGTTGAAATGCATGAGACACACAAAAAAGCAAGTAAAAGAATCCATGCTGAAGAGATAAAGTCATCAGCAGAATATGACACAGAGATAAAAGATTCTGAAAATATCAAAGAGGGAATCTAAAAGAACTATGATCTACCAAATTTGTTTGAATTAATGGGGAATTTCAGCAGAGTTAAAAAACTATAAGAAAGAGACAAATGGTAACGCTAGAAGTTTTGTAAAATGTGGTAACTGCAGTTAGGAATGCCTTAAATAGATTCAACAACAGACTGGACAGAGCTTGGGAATGAACTGCAATCTTGAAGGCAGGTTAACAGAAATTGCACAAACTAACCCTGCAAAGAGAAAAAGGAGTGAGAAAACAAGACAGAGAGTCTAATGAGGGCTGTAAAATAATATAAAATACATTAATATACATGCAATTAACTCCTAGAAGGAAAAGAGAGAAAGAATGGGCAAAAGACATATTTGAAGAGATAATGAATGAGCATTTCCTATAAATAATGAAAAAAAAATCAAACATATTTAAGCACGTCAGAAAATACCCATGGTCACCCCACCCCTAAACAAAAACCAAAAGAACCCACATACTTAGATCCATCAAATTTAAATTATTAAAAACTAAAGACAGAGAAAATCTTGAGGGTCGCTAAACACACACACACACACACACACACTACAGAGGTACAAAGATAAGAATCACAGCTGACTGATGAGAAATGATGCAGTCCAACCTAAATGCAGTGGCATCATCAAAGCACTGAAATAAAACAACAGTCAGCCAAGAATCCCATACACAGCAAAAATATCTTTCAAATATGAAGGTGAAACAAATACTTTTTCAGACAAAAATAAGCTGAGATTATTTATTACCTGCACTATGCAAAATATTAAAGGGATTTCTTCAGGCAGGAGAAATATGAAACCAGACAGAAATGTAGATGTCCACAAGGGAAGAAAGATATTTTTCTTATTTTTAATCATTCTAAAAGAGAATTGACTTCTAAAGCAAAAATAGTAGAGATGTATTATAGGTTTATGGCATATTATAACATGTAAAATATATCATAACATTCTGCTGATGGGCATCCAATATATATCCAGTTTCCTTGTTTCTATGAATAAGGCTGATAAGCCTCCTGGGGAATGTGTTATATATGGGTACTTTCATGTCTCTGGGATAGATTCCAGGAGAGGGATTGCTGAAAAGGCTGTATTTGTAATGTTAATAGATGCCATCAGATTGTTTAGGGTGATGAAAATACATTTATACTGGCAACGTAGGAAGGCCCTTTCTACCATTTTCTCATGGACAGCAGGCGGTGGCTCAAGCCTGTAATCCCAGCACTTTGGGAGGCCGAGGCGGGTGGATCACGCGGTCAAGAGATCGAGACCATCCTGGTCAACATGGTGAAACCCCGTCTCTAC